AGCCGTGATGTTGCTGGAATATTGCTAAAAGCGGCGTAAAACCATACTCACTCACTCACTCATTTCTTGGACATCACCAAGACAACTCCCATTTAGGGCTCACAGGGTGTAAGAAATGGCAAAAGTTGGATAAATATTATTTTGAAGTTGCCCTTATTAGCAGTTGGTTTGAAATATTTCCCCAACAGTAATGCATAACATGACGAATTACTCTCTCCACCCCGAACTTGGCTGAACCTGAGTCTTTGTGGTCCATGGCCGCCAAACTAGATGTTAACTGTGACAGTGCTATCAATAAATTACTTGGAGCCATGTGACAATCCCAATCACTAGTTCAACATTAACCCGATGCTATTCTGATATCGAATGCATACAATTTTTTCGGCAGCCATTATTATATGCATCGATGCGTCGTCAGGGAGATGTTTTCATGCGCATGTTTTTGTGTGTGTGTGAAAAGACTAAATTAAAAAAAATATTAACATGAAAAAGGATACCTCTTATTAACCAATCAGAATCAAGAATTTTTCAATGTCATGGTAGAATTAATTATTTTAAACATACAGTATTTTGTAATAGTATACTTCTGGAATATTTCATACCATTTATTCATTTGTTTTTTTTGTAAAATATATTAAGTGCAACAGATCAACAATTATGTTAGAACCAATATAAACCTAATCGACCTTAACGATATCGATATCGTAGATATATATATGATGAATGTGACTGCTTACTTTTAATGTATACAAATATTTTCTCTTATTTTTAATGTTACCCACAATGAACTGCCACTGTGATGTGCATACGGTATTTATTCTAGGTTCTTAGTCAGTATGCGACCGGGAGAATATGAGATTAGACTGAAGTCAAAGAATCGTCAGATATTTGTGACGAAATATGGAAGTAGTGAGGGAGTGAGTGAGTATGGTTTTACGCCGCTTTTAGCAATATTCCAGAAATGTCACGGCGGGGGACACCAGAAATGGGCTTCACACATTGTACCAGTGTCGGGAATCGAACCCGGGCCTTCGGCGTGAAGAGCAAACGCTTTAACCTCTAGGCTACCCGACCGCCCTAAATATGCAAGTAACATCTCCAAGGAGAGCATATATTAAATGTTTGCTGAATCCTCCAATTGACCGATTCCAATGTATGGAATCCTAGGAGGCGTTGTCGCCTTATAACAGGTGAGGTGAGGTGAAATGGGGTTTAACGTCGCGTCCAAGATTATTGCACTTATATAGCGACGTGCATGCACGTGTGTGTGTTTGTGTTGCTGCTTGTACTAGTCCGGACTGATGCCGATTTATAGTGCTAGCTCACTGAGATACCATGCCGCAGTTCAACATGAATACCCCACTCAGACACAGTATACTGACTCCGAGCCGACCAGTCCTTGTTTTAGTCCCTTAATGCCGAGCGCCAGACAGGGTAACAACAAGTACCATTTTTTAACGTCTTTTGGTATGACGCGGCCGGGGATCGAACCCCGGACCTTCCGCTCTCCGGACCGCTCTCCACTAGACCACGGAGGCGGTCACTTATAACAGTGTTACCAACCAAGGGAAACTGACCAAATTAACCAAATCGCGATTTCGGGGCAATGTGTCAACGCAACATTGTGACCAACTGTCGTATCGTCCCGTTCTGAAAAATACAACGTTGTGTTGTCGCACTTTTTAAGGCATTTCATATATCAGACGGGGTGATAATGCGACAACGCGACATATTTTGACCTCGAAAAATGTCGCGTTGTCGCATATTGATATAAAAACAAAAGATTTTATTCAAAACGCAACGCGCTGTTGCGACGTTGAACCTTCGTCAGTGTTTGCGACTGCGACATTGTGACAACGACCGTTCTAGGTTTCCATAACAATGGCTTCATCCGGGTAATCCGACGATGAAGGTGTTGGAACTCAAGTAATGTACATAAAGATATTAACACGATACATCAGTGTGTGCAACCTCATCTTTTCACACCTATTAATGAATAGACAACGGGCTACCCTCCTTACTGAGGACAGCAACTAAATTACAAATTGGAATCAACATTAAAAACACGATCGTTGAGACACATTCAGGTATACCTTTCGCCCCAAAATCGTATGAAATAGATGTAAGAGGCTCAAGAGGTTTATCTAGTTATACATACATGACAACCAGTAGTCCTGTATGTTTAGACGTGTCACCATGCATATTGTAAGATGCTAGTATAAACAAGCGTACTTACCCCGTGAGATAATACCGCTCTAGTTCTTCCTCTCGACTTCAATACAACAGGAGAAGTTCTTTATGAGTGAGCAGTCATGGTCGAGTGCGTCCGTTTTATGCACGCCCCCTGGTGGTTACATAACCAAGTACCCGTAATAGCCAAACAGTATGAATTTTACACTGAAAGGCTTTGTCGAACGGAAAAAAACAACCTTTTTACGAGACGTGTCTCAGGTTATCCCGACATTTTAAGTGTATTCTGGTCGTACCAACCGCAATTTCATACTACAAAGTGTCTCGTGCTGTGATATACCATCTCATTACACTTCACGTGACAAGCTAAGTTTAACACTAATGTGATGTCAAATATTGACGACTTGTCGATTTATGTTACTTCTGGGACAGAGAATTAACAACCCACTTCCTTGAGACACAGGGCGATGGGGTAGCCTCGTGGTTCATACGTTCGCTCGTCACGCCAAAGATCAGGGTTCGATTCCCGACATGGGTGCAATTTTTGGAATATTGCTAAAAGCGTCGTAAAACCATACTCACTCACTCACCCACTCACTCCGAGGGACACATATTAGGCTGTAGGCTAGGTATGACTCACGAGCACCCTCCCCCCCAATCCAAACCCCACTATTTATTTTAAAAGCCCATAAACAACATACTAAACATGATTTTGAATGTTAACAAGAAAAAAGTTGGGACGAACTTGTTGTTACAGCCTTTCAAAGTATGGTACCCCATATCGCGTTTTCGTCCGGTTTTGCCGTATATCACTTGGGGGTATGATTAAGTTTTGGGTTGTCATCTCACTAGTGATCCACTGATCTTGAAGTGGGATACACCACTGGAAGCCATATATAAGTACCTCTCCAATGAGATGTCAATAATTGGTATTGAGTGAATATGGACCAACCCATGGCAAATCGAACGTCATATATCCCGACCAAACCAAATTCTTCTCGCAGAAACCTGTATTCCGGTATATGTTCTAGGTACGTGTGCCTGATTCCACTATAGTCTTCTAACACATGTTCCAGTACATCTCTTGAAGTACTTCTTAACATGTGATTTTACCAGGTGAAAATCTTTAGCTACATCGGAACAACGCTTGGATGTATGCTCAGGATTTGGCTTGTCATCTTGTGTTTTACTTCACATTGCCAAGGAATATAAGTATCTCTTAGCTTAATGTCGCAATTCTGCTAGGGATTTTGCAATACCAAGTGCTTTACTGCCAGCATTGTTAATGTTGTATTCCGACTAGGACAGTGTGACATGCAATACCTGGTGATTCACTCATGACAAGGATACAAAACGTGCAACGAAGAGTTTGTTTGGTGCAGAGTTTTGATCACGTAGCACTGTTGTCGTAAGATCCTCGTTTCTTGATTGGTATTTCAACCATTCGATCATTCTCATTGAGGATATTTCAACTCAACTTGAAATGACAAAATTTGTCAAAATATCAAGCCTGCGTCCAAGAAATTGATTTTTATATTTGATGAATTTAAATAACATTTACATTATGATCAGGTTTTTTGGCACAGCTTTATGGTTGCCATCTTGAATATGTTACACATAGGTCCATTTCATTCAAAGTTCTGAAATTGACTCGAGCATTATACTGTGAACCTCTTATATGCATACAAACGTGAATGATATCAGAGTTGTCAAAAAGTATTCTGTATGACTGTCCACAAGTAGATAAATAATCAGTGTTTATATATAGTTTCCTATGGTATATAACACATAGAGGTCGGCGAATAACACACAAGATGACAAGCCAAATCCTGAGCATACATCCAAGCGTTGTTCCGATGTAGCTAAAGATTTTCACCTGGTAAAATCACATGTTAAGAAGTACTTCAAGAGATGTACTGGAACATGTGTTAGAAGACTATAGTGGAATCAGGCACACGTACCTAGAACATATACCGGAATACAGGTTTCTGCGAGAAGAATTTGGTTTGGTCGGGATATATGACGTTCGATTTGCCATGGGTTGGTCCATATTCACTCAATACCAATTATTGACATCTCATTGGAGAGGTACTTATATATGGCTTCCAGTGGTGTATCCCACTTCAAGATCAGTGGATCACTAGTGAGATGACAACCCAAAACTTAATCATACCCCCAAGTGATATACGGCAAAACCGGACGAAAACGCAATATAGGGTACCATACTTTGAAAGGCTGTAACAACAAGTTCGTCCCAACTTTTTTCTTGTTAACATTCAAAATCATGTTTAGTATGTTGTTTATGGGCTTTTAAAAAAAATAGTGGGGTTTGGATTGGGGGGGAGGGTGCTCGTGAGTCATACCTAGCCTACAGCCTAATATGTGTCCCTCGGAGTGAGTGGGTGAGTGAGTGAGTATGGTTTTACGACGTTTTTAGCAATATTCCAAAAATTGCACCCATGTCGGGAATCGAACCCTGATCTTTGGCGTGACGAGCGAACGTATGAACCACGAGGTTACCCCATCGCCCTGTGTCTCAAGGAAGTGGGTTGTTAATTCTCTGTCCCAGAAGTAACATAAATCGACAAGTCGTCAATATTTGACATCACATTAGTGTTAAACTTAGCTTGTCATGTGAAGTGTAATAAGATGGTATATCACAGCACGAGACACTTTGTAGTATGAAATTGCGGTTGGTTCGACCAGAATACACTTAAAATGTCGGGATAACCTGAGACACGTCTCGTAAAAAGGTTGTTTTTTCCGTTCGACAAAGCCTTTCAGTGTAAAATTCATACTGTTTGGCTATTACGGGTACTTGGTTATGTAACCACCAGGTGGCGTGCATAAAACGGACGCACTCGACCATGACTGCTCACTCATAAATAACTTCTCCTGTTGTACTGAAGTCGAGAGGAAGAACTAGAGCGGTATTATCTCACGGGGTAAGTACGCTTGTTTATACCAGCATATTACACCATGCATGGTGACACGTCTAAACATACAGGACTACTGGTCGTCATGTATGTATAACTAGATAAACCTCTTGAGCCTCTTACATCTATTTCATACGATTTGGGGGCGAAATGTATACCTGAATGTGTCTCAACGATCGTGTTTTTATGTTGACTCCAATTTGTAATTTAGTTGCTGTCCTCAGTAAGGAGGGTATCCCGTTGTCTATTCAGTATCGTGTAATGTACATTACTTGAGTCACAGGCGTCCGTATCTAAAAATAGACGCCCTCGTGCATATTCATGACCATCTCCCCACACGCGAGGTCATGAATATGCATGAGGGCCCCTATTTTTAGATACGGACTCCTGTGCTTGAGTTCCAACACCTTCATCGTCAGATTACCCGGATGAAGCTATTGTTATGGAAACCTAGAACGGTCGTTGTCACAATGTCGCAGTCGCATAAACCTGACAAACACTGACGAGGTTCAACGTCGCAACAGCGCGTTGCGTTTTGAATAAAATCTTTTGTTTTTTTTATCAATATGCGACAACGCGACATTTTTCGAGGTCAAAATATGTTGCGTTGTCGCATTATCACCCCGTCTGATATATGAAATGCGTTAAAAAGTGCGACAACACAACGTTGTATTTTTCAGAACGGGACGATACGACAGTTGGTAACAATGTTGCATTGACGCATTGCCCCGATATCGCGATTTGGTTAATTTGGTCAGTTTCCCTTGGTTGGTAACACTGTTATAAGGGACCGCCTCCGTGGTCTAGTGGAGAGCGGTCCGGAAAGCGGAAGGTCCGGGGTTCGATCCCCGGCCGCGTCATACCAAAAGACGTTTAAAAATGGTACTTGTTGTTACCCTGTCTGGCGCTCAGCATTAAGGGGCTAAAACAAGGACTGGTCGGCTCGGAGTCAGTATACTGTGTCTGAGTGGGGTATTCATGTTAAACTGCGGCATGGTATCTCAGTGAGCTAGCACTATAAATCGGCATCAGTCCGGACTAGTACAAGCAGCCACACAAACACACACATGTGCATGCATAGCCCAAAAAATGCAGTTTCCGGTATCCGGATACCTGCCGGATACCACCGGACACTTACCCAAAACGCATCCGGGTATCCGGTGGCAGATACCTTGCCGGATACCAGATCCGTGGTATCCGGCCTGGACACCTCACCTGATAGTATGCCACCTGGAATCCGGGTATCCGGCACCGGATACCTCACCGGATACCTCAATCTGGGTGTCCAAGGATCCGGCACCGGATACCAAGAATCCGGCACTGGATACCTCATTCTGAGTTTCCAAAAGCATGTCACAATTTGGGGGGGGAATTTTGTTCAATTAAGTGTGAAACACCTAAATATATATTGGAAACTAACCATGAAAATTGAACATTGCTGAAGGTATCCGGCAGGTATCCGGCATGTATCCGGATGCAATTTTTCGAGATGTCTTATTTCTGGTAAATAATGTTAGCCTGGGCATATCAGATAGCTGTAGTAATATTCTGTGTCATTTTAGTTGTAAATATCCCCTTAAAGTTGAGATCTATGGGCATGTACTTTTGGAGAAGACAATTTTTTTCAATTTCATCTATAATTCTTTTTAGATGTTAAGCTGTTTAATGAACAAACATCAGTTCTAATACATGTATGATGATATCCTTAAATTTCATGTTCAGACTTCCAGATTATTCTGAGTGAAAGTATAAACTCATCGACTGTGTGCTCACTTGGGCCTTTGGTCCTAGTGAGATGATAATATGATTATTTGTAAAGGTACAAGTACTTGTTATGAGCATACCAGCTTCATTTAAGTTTGAAACACAATATGCCTCACTCTGAGGGTGGGTGACATGTACCAGATTTCATCACACTACAGAGAGCTGTTCCTCAGTTACTGTGAACATTTTTACTGAAAGACATTGAAAGCTAATTTGACCTTCAATATCAGTTGCGACTATTTCAAAAACAATTGTAAAGTGCTTCATTCAGTGTAATATTGACAAACATATGACAATGATATACAACTATATGTATAAGAGTTATTTAGACTTCTGCAGGAAAAGGCACATTAGAGAACAAGAGTCATCAGAAAGATGCCATATCCCCCCGGCAGCTGTCTGTAAAGTAACCACTAGTAAATGTGCAATTCTGTATGTAATGAGTCAACAGTTGAATGTTCTTTAAGAAGCATACATTGTTTACCCACAAAAGATCCACCATGGTCGCATCCATATGAATGCCAAGGTTCGATCAAATACATTGAATGTTGTTCGAATTCTGCCCCAGAAATGAACCTCATCCCCAATTGAGTCTATGTCCAACTTCATTCCATAAAAAAATTAAAAAATAAAAATTAGAAAAATCCCAAAATTTGAAAGGCACCACTTCAGCATGTGCCTGATAGCTTTGCCAAGTTTCGATCAAATACACTGAATGGTTTTCGAATTCTGCCCCGGAAACGAACCCCATCCCCAATTGAGTCTATGTCCAACTTCATTCCATAAAAATTAGAAAAATCCCAAAATATCAAAAGGCACCACTTCAGTATGTGCCTGATAAGAGTTGCCAAGTTTCGATCAAATACACTGAATGGTTTGGGAATCCTGCCCCGGAAAAGGAAATGATTACGGACGGACAGACGGACAGACAGGCTGATCGATATTCCCCCGTATTATATGCCGGGGGGATAAAAAGTAAGTGTATGACCTGTTGCCAACTTCTATCCCTGCCCTAAGGAAGAGATTGGCCATTAACATTTTTTTTGTCTGGCTGTGACATTGACCTTTGACATAGCAGATCAATGTGTTATTCCAAGCAATGCATGGTTTCATACGATAACTGTGGCTATCAAACTGAGGCAAAATATTGGAAAATCCCCATTTACACAGCTGGCTAAAGAAACAAACAACAAACAAATTATCAATTTCTTTTATTTATATGCATATATCACACATTGAACAGCGTTCACATAATGGTTCCTGATGCAGTATGCACTTTCAATACTCATAACAGAGCGGGATAACTGTTCGCTTGAAAGCATCAGCAGACCATGCTCACCAGTTCAGAGTTACTTGCCCTCAAACATCCTTTTCCTTCTATGTTGCCATGGAAAAACAGGAACCAGGATGAGGGGAGGCCAGATAGGCCTTATCCCTGTTGCATTGTGTTAGTAGAATTGTGAACATTCTATTTGGTGTTTGGGTCCACATTTATAGACAAGTAGTCGCAAACATCATTCCTTTCAAGTGATTACCACATGGCCAAAGACAATAATTTCTTCAACGTCCTTGAAGGGTCCCACTCCGACTTGGCATTGGTTGGTCTTCTCACATTAGCCTGACCACCCTTTGAGAGTGTGTCCCAGTGTCAATTGGCATATAACTTCTCGGTAGGCACCCATTGAAATAACAGGACTCTCCTCATCGCTGTCTGCCAATCACTCCGGATATCTGGAAGGGTCCTTCCAGACTGTCAACCTGTCATCCGGGTATCTCAAGCTGGACTTCAGTTTCTGCAAAATTATGTATAAAGATTGTAGCAAAAGAAAAGAATTGCAACATGTACTTACAGATAAAAGGCAGCAAATTCACTTAATTTATCATCTTTGAGTTTTGTTATATACCAAACATTTGAGATATATATTGTTCCATGCTGATGAGTTGAAACAATCATTAACTGACATCTCTTAAAAATGTTCCTAGCAACCTATGCTTGCCATACAAGCCAAAGTAATAGATGAGGTAGCAAGTGGGCTCATTGAAAGCTCGTAATCATACCCAATAACGTGGGATGTTGTCCATAACAGTCATCATCGGTGCGTCTGGATCGAGCTCATAACATTAATCTCTGGTTTGTCTAGTTGAGATTTGATATTGATTAATTTATAATCCTTGTCATTTAGCCGAACTATTGCTGGATGTGGTGTTAAATCAGTGAATTGGGTTTAACGCCTCTTTGAACAGTATTCCAGTTATATCACGGCATGTAAGCTTGGTGTGGGAAGGAAGCCCGAAGTGATGCAGGTCTTACATGTTTACCACTTTGATAAAAACCCACAAGCAAGTGTATGATGCTACCCTCGATTCAAACCCACAACCATCGGTTTCTGTCAAGCCCAAGAGATGCAACTATGCACAGCAAGTTGTGGTGCCTTTGATAATTAGGCCATCCATGCCAACAGGTGATAAAGAACAAGCAAACTGAAGAAATATTTGCAGAATAGCTACATGAACATGATGAACCAAACAGAACAATTTCAAATATTTACCACTCACTGCTACTCTTCTCTTGTTCCTCATTGCTTCCCTTTTTCCATTGATGCTGTGCAGATGACTGACTCATTCATTCATCCAGACATTCTGCAAACATAAGTAGCATTCACATTACAGAAATGTCCAAACTGTACATGCTGTACATTGAATTCAACTGAAAAGGCCCCAGTTGAGTTTCCAACTTAGAACTGTCCTTATTAAAATATTTCATCCCAAACATTCAGAGATAAAACATAACCCCATATTTAACAACTGTCAAACAATTATTTGACAACAAAGCCAGGGTCATTCAACATACACTTTACATAGGGAATCACTTGTTGCAAAAAAGATCCTCGCCAAGGTCAGAGTCATTCCATGAAATATTGAATTATTAAGTTATGAAGCTTATACAAAACAAGGACATAACAGTGTAATTATAACAATATCCTAAGCGTAAAAAAAATAAAGTCTTTGGTGGCCATTATTGTAAATTATAATCTGTATTAGCATCCCACGAAACTTTAGAGTTAATTATCGTTCCTAGATCTTGGTACTTTTCTTCATTATCTATAAAAAATGTCACATGTGGTAACATGTCTAATTTGGATCATCTTGTTTTGACCACAAATCCATTACGCCCCTTATGCTAACAAACAGTTGACCATAATACTAAAAAAAGGACCCTTGGCGTTTACGGTAAGGTATGTAGA